TCGTGCCTCTGGGGGGCCTCTTGGGCCGTCTTGGGGCGGTCGTGGGGACCTCTTGTCCCGTCTTGTGCGCCATATACCCGACAAGCAGTGCATGCTAAAATGTGTCGTTTTTTTTTTTTTTGTGTGTGTGTGTGGAAAAGCAATGATTTGGGACTGTGGGGGCCATCCTGGGGCGCCTCTTGGGCGTCTCTGGTGCCGTCGTGGAGGCCTCCTGGGCCTTGTCGGGGCCGTTTTCGACGGTCTTGAGCTCTCTTGGAGCGCTCTTGGGCCGTTTTGGCGGGGTCTGGGGCCGTCCTGGGCGCCTCTTGGGCCGCGTGAGCGCCTCTGGGGCGTCCCCGGAGCCACTGTGGGGCATTGTAAGGCGATCAAGACAGGGACCCTTCCCGCACGCGCGGGTCCCTGCATTGTAGAAAAGACTAGGGCGAACCCGTGGACTTCGTCCACGTCATCTTGGACCAATCTTGGCTCGAATAGGCCGTGTTGGGCCTGTCTTCGCTCGAACTGGCGAGAAGGTGGAAATCGTTCAGGAACCATAGAAGAATCAACGATTTCGTTTGCCGCGGCTCGTCTGGAGCGTCTTCGAGCGGTCTTGGGCCGTCTCGGAAGCCCTCTTGGACAGCTTCCTTCCCTTCGTCCGCCTTCCGCTCTATCTCCGCCTAGACAGCCGTCGGAGCGTCACAGACGGCTATGGTGGGTCTGCGGTGTACGTCTCGCCGCTTGTCAATTTTGAAGGCACCTGGGGCCTTGAAAAAAGTCACCCGGAGGGCTCTGGTGACTTATTTCCTGTTGCCTCTTCGAAGCCTGATGGCGAGCGCTGCCGTCTCCGTTAATGGGCCTCTCGGGGTTTCTTTTCGAGCGCCTGGAGGCCTGTTGGGGCCTCGTTGGCTGTCTTGCGGCCTCCTAGGGGCCTCTTGGGGCCCTCTTGGGCTGTCTTGCGGCCTCCTGGGGGCCTTTTCTCTTGAATTTTTTGGGGGCGCTTCTGGGGCCGTTCCCGGGCTGTCCCCCCGAGCCTCTTCAGGGGGACAGCCCAGGAAATCTATTGTGCTTGCGTGCTGTGCGTGCGTGCTCTTGTGTGAGAGGTCGGAAGGGTGTCCCGACGTCACCGCTCGCTCTTGGGAGCTGTGCCTGGGAGAGCTCTCTACGCTGCGTCTCGCTCTTGGGAGCCTTGGTGAGCAGAGCTTTGTACTTCACCGATCGCTCTTTTAATGGGCGTCTCTGGGCCTGCTTGGTGGTCCTTGTGGGAGGGTCTTTTTCGGGCCATCTTGATGCTTTTTGGGGCTGCTCTGGGAGGCCTTGGACCGTCTTGGAGCTCTCTTGAGGCTGCCTGAGGCCATCTTGGGAGCCTCTTGGGGCCCCCTCGGAGCTCTCTTGGGGCCGTCTTGGGGTTCTGTGGTGAGGCCGTTGCAGGGCTCTCTGGCGTCGTCTTGGGGCTCTTGCGGGCCGTCTTGGAGCCCTCTTAGGGGCCGCTGGCGTCTTCTTGGAGCGATTTCGGAGGCCTCTTGGCGTGTCCTGGGCCGCTGAAGAGCACACACGGCGGGCATGCTGAAAATATACGTTTTCCCTCCGGAATTCTGACGATTTGTGCCTCTTTGGCGTGCGCTCGGGGCCCTCTTGGGGCGTCTTTGCGGCCTCTTGGATCGTCGTGGAGCCCCCCCCGGAAGGCTTCGGGCCCTCGTGGGCCGTCTCGGGACCCACTGAGGCCGTCTTGGAGCGCTCTTGGACGGTCTGGGAACCCCTCTGGAGCGCCTCTGGGACCGGCCTGAGCGATTCGGCCCCGTGGTGGCGCCGTAAAGGGGCGATTTTGTGCACACGAGGCCCTGCGACATTCTCACACGCGCTTCCACTGGCCATGTAGGAGAGATGACGTTGGGCTCCAGCTTCGCCTCCCGCATCTCGCTCAACAACGCCAGCGCCCGCTGCCACTGCTCGCCCTTCTCGCACGCGCTGATCCCAGCGCTGTAGCTGACTAGGGCAGACCTGTGGACTCCGTCCACGACATCAGCTCGACGTGGCGAGGGATCTCTGGGCAAGCGCGGGGGGGTGCGGCTGCAGGGCCGAAAGGCAATCATGATGGCGTCGGGCTCCAGCTTGGCTTTCCACATCTCGCAGTGCAGCGCCAGGCCCCGCTTGTCGTAAGGGTGCCTTCTCCTCCTCCTCCTCCTCCTCCTCCTCCTCCTCCTCTTCCACCTTCTTCTCCTCTTTCGCTGGATTCTCCATGCCCTCGGTCGGCAATCGTCGATCCTACGACGACTCTCCCCAACAGAGAAACATCGAAGGCCCTCGGAGCGTCCAACATTGTTCTTTTGTGCCTTCGATATGCCGGTCGCCTCTCGTCCGCTCCCCCCCTCCTGGAAGCAATTCTGAGGCCACTTAGGGCTTCGTGGGGGCCGTTTGGGGATCTCTTGGGGCGTTTTTGCCTGCTATATGCCTGTCGCCTCTCGTCCGCTCCCCCGCTCCTGGAGGGAATTCTGAAGCCACTGAAGGCTTCGTGGGGGCCTCCGTTTGAAGAGCGCGTCACGGAGGACCTCGAGCGTGGAGCCTCGAGGATCCAAGTTCGGAGGTCCGACGAGACAAACATCTAAGGCCCTGGGAGCGTCGAAAACGCCTCTTTTGTGTCCGCGATATGCCTGTCGCCTCTCGTCCGCTCACCCCCTCGTGGAGGCATTTCTGAAGCCACTTAGGGCCTCGTGGGGGCCCTTTCGAGGGGCTTCTTTTGGGTCTCCTGGGGGGCTCTGGAGCCCTCTTGGGCCGTCTTGGGTGCCTCTTGGGCCGTCTTGGGACCGTCTGAGGCCGGCTTCGGCGCCTCTAGGGCTCTGTTGGGCCGTCTTGGGCCGCTCCTGGGGCCGTATTGGGTGCCTCTTGGGCTGTCTTGGGCGCCTCCTGGGCCGTCCTGGGGCCGTCCTGGGCCGTCTTGGGGCCGTCTTGGGGCCCTCTTGGCCTGTCTTGGGGCTCTCTTGGGGTCCTCTTCGGCCGTCTTGGAGCGGTCTGGGGGACGTCTTGGGCCGTCTTGGAGCGTCGGGAAGCCGAAAAGGCGAGGAGGCCGAAACCATCGAAAAACACATAGGGGGAGGGGCGCTTGGTGAAATCGCGACACGGTTTCTTTCATCTTTCCAGCGACACAGCTCGGAGCCCTCTTGGAACGCCACAATGGCACGAGGCCGGTCTTTGGGACAGGTGGGGAGGGGGGGGGGGGGGGGGGGGGGGGGGGGAGACCAATAAGAAGTACATTCTAAGTCTTGGAGGCCTCTGGAGCCGTCTTGGGCCAATCTCGAGCGTCTTGGGCCCCTCGCTGGGCGTGCCGGGGCCCTCCGGGGCCGTCTTGGGGGCCTCTTGGGGCCCTCTTGACGTGTCTTGGGGCCTCCCGGGGCGGCCCGGGGCCAGCCCGGGGCGGTTTCGGTGCATTGGGGCCTGCGCCCTTCTGGCACGCACTGGGCCCTGCAATGTAATAGAGACTAGGGCTGACCTGTGGACTACCGTCCACAAATGCCAAGAAGTTTTGGGAGTGCGCTTGCTGCTGCGCAGTGCTTCAGGGCGAGCTGGGTGCTCGATGATTCTGTCGGCGCCGAAAGCATCGTTTGCAGCAGCATCGGATATGGCAGCATCGGCAGGAGCCCGAGAGGGGGGTGGAGGGACGTCACCGGCAAATGACGCCAGGCATTGTGCCGAGGGAGCCGAGGGCATTGAGGAGGAGGAAAAGGTCGAGGGAGGAAGTGCAATCAGTATGGGAAAAACCAAAATAGAGAAACGAAGAAGAAAACAAATAAACAACAAAAAAAGAAATGACGCATGGGGGGGGGAAGAGGGGGGGGAACAATAAAAAAAGACCAAAAACAAAAATAGAGAAAGAGGGACAAAGTAACCTCAACACAAACAAAAGACAAATTAAACAGGAAACAACTAAAAAAGAAATGAAAAAAAAAGAAAAATTGACAGAGAAAAAAAAAAAAAAAAAAAAAGAAAAGAAAAAATAAAAGATGAGAATAAAATCGATCACAGAAACAGCCCCGCACCTCCTGGGACACGCGCCGTGTGGGAGGGGTCCCGGAAAAAGCGTTCCATGGGTGTGGCGGATCCGTCTGGAAGCGGATTCGGCGATCCCCTCCCGAGCGAGAGGCGTCCCAAGAGGTGCGGGGTGTGTGTTTTTCCAATCCGGCGTGGCTTCAAAAAGATATGAAATTTCAGAACACCCTGGGGGGAGGCCTCGTTTGCGCATTGGGAGCTGTTTCAGCGTGCCTCCCGGGTTTTTTGAGGGTCTCTCGGGGCCTTTCGGGGTCGAAAGATTAGATACATTGTAGTAGAGATGGCACCATCTTCGCCGCCCGCATCTCGCTGTTCGTGATCACCTGGCCGGGAGCGTGTGGCGCAGGCGGGGTTGTCTCGTCGTCGTCGTCGTGGGTGACTGCTTCCCTTTGTGTCTCCTCTTACGGCTGCTCCTCGCCTCCTCTACGTTCTCCACCCTCTTCTCCCTCCCAGCTTCCTTGCATCCCGACTTGACCCTCTCCTTGTCGTCTGGTTCCCAGCTCTCGGCGTCTGCGTCTCGTGCACTTGTTTCGCACACTCTGGATGGAAGGGGCGGGGCGTGGGATGGCGCGGTACGGCGAGGGGGGTTAAAGGGTTGAGAGCAAGGAAGGCAGGAGGGAGGCATGAGCGGAAGGGTGGCTGGGAAGAGCAGCGGCACGGTTTGGGGGGAGGCGGGGAGGGATGAGGCAGGAGGGGCGAAGCGGCGGGGCGATCAGGCAAAGGGGGAAGCTCGCGTCAGGGACGGCACGGAAGGGCGTGGTGACCCAGGCGCTCGCTCTTTTGGCATGGCAGCGGGGTCGGGTCCTCAATACTGGGCGACGAGCAGGTCCTTCAGGCAGCGGCGTCTGCTCACCACCGGAGCACGAATGCTACTCGGCTTTCCCGAGAGGAACCTCACGGCATGCTCGTGGTGGACAGCCTGCAGCATGTGGGAGCCGTTGTGCTGCCCTTTGCCCTGCGCCTTGTCGCAAGTGGGAGGTTCACGAGGGCACGCCCTCAGTCGAAATGCACATGACTGGGTAGACCTTGCGGAAAGTCGTGATGAGGTTTCGGAACTGGGACCAATTGATGGGGATGGGTTTCGGCTGCGAACTATCCAGTCTCCACAACCTTCCCTCCTGCGTGCGGATGGCCGACCAGTGGACGTTGTTCTCGTTGATGAGGGCGCCTACAACATCCGGTGCGTATATCCTCAGCATGGACTCCTCGGCCTCGAGGAAAGGGTTGTTCAAGTTGAGTTCGTAGAGGTTGTGGTGCCACTGGAGGGCGAAGGAGAGCAGCGCCTCGGAGTAGTTTCCGTCTCCGTCAATGTGGGCGTCACTGTGCTCTATGTTTCCTTCTCGGGCGCTCTGCTCAAGGTACAGGGCGCACGCTTGCCGCAGGAGGCCTTCGTTCAGCAGCTGGTAACCGACTGCATTGTTAATGGCGTGCAAGCCGCAGCGAGCGCCGCGTTGCCGTTCAAAATGGCCTTGGAATCGTTGCGGGGCGTCGTCTGCAGCCGAGTCGCCGGCATTGGCGACGCCTTCAATCTCGCCAGGCACGTCCTCGAAGGGCAGGGCGGTCCCGCGCGCCGGCGCGCTCGGCGCGGCGACGGTATCTGGCGGATGCATCGCAGAGCTGAAGTGTGCGTTGCCAGACGGTGCAGTGGATAGCACTACGCCGAACTCGTCCGCTTCCGTGGCCACGTCGTCGGTGTTCGTCTGGCGGGGGCTCTGGTGAGGAGTGGGGGGCGCCCCGCTTGCTTCGTCGATGAAGTCTCCGAAATCAGGCCGAGGTTGTTCAGGATCGAAGCTACGTGCAGTGTTGTCGTGCTTGAAGGGGGGCGTTCTGCCGCGCATCTGCAGGTCCGTTTGGTCACGGGCGTGCGCTTGTGCGTGCTCCAATAAAACTTCTGTCCAAACGACGTTGTTGGTGTAGGTGCCTGCGTCGGCGTCGGCCACCTCGCTCCGGTAGCCCTGTTCGTCAGTGTCGTTTACCAGCACCAGCATGTCGCGGGAGCTCCCCACCCGACTGAGCGCCACGTAGAGTTGTCCGTGTGAGAACACGGGCTGCGGGAGATACAGGGCGACCTTTTTGAGGCTCTGCCCTTGGGCCTTGTTGACTGTCATGCACCAAGCTAGCTTCACTGGGAACTGCGTCCTCCTGAGGATGAAGGGGAGATCTGGGTTCTTGGGCGCCAAAGGGAGGCGCGGAATGAATGCGCGCTGCCCAGCCTTGCTCCCGCTCACGAGCACCACCTCGAGCACTCGCGGTGCCGCGCGGAGAATCACGGCGCGCACCCCGTTGATGAGCCCCTCGTCTGGGTTCAGGTTTCGTAGCAGCATGACAAGCGCGCCGGGCGCGACTGTGAGCGCATGCGGTGGGAGTCCATTCGGAGATAGGGAATTGAGGAAGTCCACGGGCCAAAGATTGCGCTCTTCGGGTGTGCCCGCGTCTATGTCATCGATGCTGTAGTACGTCACTTGCGTGCTTGCAGGCAGCGCCTCCAGCAGCGTGGCGTTCACTGCATCAGCCACGGCGTTCGTTGGGGCGAGGATTGCGCGGTCTCTGAAGTAGCACAAGGGCTCGGCAGCGTCCGGGGCCGCCACGATGGCCTGTGCCTGTGTTGGTAGATCTGGGAACACGTGCCCGGCCAAATCGGCAGGGCCCCATCCCGTTGGCGCCACAATGTCCTCCCGAAGGCGGATAGCCTGAGGTCCTATCTCCGTCGCAAATGGGGTGGACCCGTCCCCGACGTCGAGCAGGTAGCGTTGCCATCCCTTGTCGAGGGCTGCGCGCATGTTCTCCACTAAGTGGAAGATCTCCACGCGCCCTGTTCTCCACGGGTCGCTGTTCTTGAGGGAGTGCTCGACGATCTCGTCCCTCGACGCGCGGGGCATGACCGGAAGGACCTGGCGGAAGTCACCTCCGAAGACGACCACTTTGCCTCCGAACATGACCTCCGTGCCCATGATGTCCTGAAGCAACCGGTCCACGCATTCAACGGCTTCTCGTGGTGCCATTGGGGCTTCGTCCCATATGACTATGCTCGCTGCCTTCAGAACAGAGGCTCTGTTGGAGTTGGCGGCGATGTTGGATTGCACGTCCTCTGTCGGCATGGGCACGGGCAGTCCGAACCGGGAATGGCAGGTCCGACCTCCCGGGAGGAGCACGGCGGCGATGCCGCTCCAGGCGCACGCCAATGCAACCTTGCTCTCGCTACGGACCGCGTGCAAGACGGTTTCGTACAAGAACGTCTTCCCGGTGCCCCCCGGACCGTCTATGAAGGCGACGAACGGGGTCTCAGCTGCGACAGCTGCCAGGATAGCCTCGTACGCGCCGAGCTGAGCTTCGTTCAGCAACGCTCGCTTCGCAGCGGCTGCTTCGGCTTCGTCGCGCGGCACGTAGTCGAGCTCTCGTTGGAGGTCGCGGTTCTGGGGTCCGGAAGCATCCGTGGCTTTCGGCGCGGGCAAGCCGAACTCGGACAACAACTTGCCAGCCTGTAGGCGCGCCGGGATCAGCAGGGGGCTGGTCGGCCCGCTGTCGCGTGCGAGGTAATTGGGAAAGGGGCGGGGTGCACGCGGCAGCAGTCGACACGCCCCCCACTGTCCTGGCACAAAGTGTCCTGGAGCGCCTGCAAGCACATGTTCTGGGCTTCTTCTGTAGAGTGGTCCCTGGCGAAATCGTCGGCGAGGTCGTCGGCGAACTCCTCGAAGAGTGCGAGTGGGTTGGAGACGTCCGCGTGCAGAAGGGCCATGGCGAAGAGTGTTCGAAGCGCCCGCGCATGCTTCGTGTGAGCTGCGTCTGCCAGAGCGAATTTGTACTCGTCGTCACTGGTCGTGAGGCCTCTTGCCTGGCACGCGGCCTTGTAATCGGGAATGCCTGTGGGTTTCCAAGCCAAAGTGCCGGGGCACCACGCAAGCGTTTCGAAGAATCGCCGGTCTCCGTTCTCAGCGGTCGCGGTGACGAGGTCTTCCCAGCAACGCGCCCCAGGTGTGTGCAGCAGCAGGAGGTACAGGTACCAGCGAGGGCCTTCAGACGGAACAGCGGCGTGAAGACGGCCGAGAACCGTCGGGCATGGCACCTTGCCGCGACGGCGACGCCATGAGCGAGTTGGTCGGTGCCATGTAAAGTAGCACGGGATATCAGCGTATAGTAATTCTCGGGCGATCGGCAAGTCTCCGTCGGGCTCGTTCGCGTTAAGCTCAAACCAAGCAGTCAGTGTGGTTTTGGAATCAGCTCGGAGGGCCTCAGCTTCGAGTCCGGATTGGAACGTCACTTGCTCTCCCCCTTTAAGGTGCACAGCCAGCCGTTCCACGGTGTGGGATTCCTCGTGTAGCCTGAAGCTCAGGAGGCGCCAGCACGCCTCGGGTGGGCCAACGTACCGCGTGTCCAAGAACGCCGCGATCTCGTCGAAGCCCAGCTCCACGCGGGCCCGGTCGTGTCCTTTGTAGGTGTATTTGTACAGATCCGCTGCCGCGCCTTGAGCGCGTGGTTGGTGTGGTGCAGGCTTGCCCAGGCACTGAAGCACAGGCGTGCTGGTGTCTTCGAAGCCCTGGGCTTCCGGTCCTCCGTGCAAGTGGGCTCTTGCGGGCGCTCAAGCGTTTCTGCGTGTTCTTATCGGGGAGGGAGGAAGAGGCTATCTGTGTGTCTCTTGTACGCGAGCCCCACCCCCCCTTCCTCTGTGTACACCAGGTGGCTGTGGCGGTGATTTCAGGTATTCTAGGGGAAATCTCCGGAATTCAGGAGGTGCCCGAAGCGCTTTCGGAAATGGGGGGAATGCCTGAGACCGGGTGAAGATGGCCAGCTGGGCGTCAAGTCGCGCCCAAAGAGAGCGCCTGGAGAAGACCTCCATACACTGCCCAAAAACCAGAGTGGCCCGAGTCTTCCTGGAGATTACGTCGGGCGGTTGCGCGATATTTTTCCCGGCAGGGGGCGCCGCGGCGTCGAAGGCGATCGAGGGGGCCCCCGTCACGGGCCCATTGGTCCAGAAGTTTGAGGCTGGGCGGCCCTAGCCTTAGCAGAGGATGCCGCGGGGCCTTCGCGAGACCTCCCAGAGATAGGCGTCAGAGAGAGGCGTCAGGGGGGTTAGAGTGTCAGATGGGTCAGGGGAGGCGGCTTCGCGCGCGCAGGGGCGCTTGGTCCCCATCCGAAAAGGAGCCCATGGAGGTGGCAGCATCCTTCCCCGGAGCCCCAAAGGAGGCCTACGAAGGATTCGCGAAGCTGAAAAGAACGCCTGGGGAGGGCCGGGGCGTTCTCAGAAGCGGGGGGTTCATTACCCTGCTGTTCTGACGGGCGCCCCGAGGAAGCCGAAAAGGCGTCCTTGACGACTCGGACGCTGACCCCAGACACGGGCGCGGAACGGGCCGCAGGCTAATGGATACTTGACGCTCTTGATTGACGCACAGAATTCCAGGTTCAAGTGACACGCCAATTTCCTGCTGAGGACGGGGTTGTACGGAACCACGTCGCGTGCATCCACAGGAAAGCCGTTCTTGACTGCTGTCGGCGACGCTGGTCGCCGGCGGTATTTCGGGTACCCGTTCACGTGGAGCTCCGTGGTGTCCTGGAAATCTTTGGGATATTTCTTGCAGCAAGTGCCTCCTTCCATGCAGGGGGCTCTGGGGTTGCGAGTGCCGCAAGGCCCGTGTAGCTGCGAGCCCAAGATGATGCTGCGGAGCTGCGGCTGGGTCTCGCAGGGGATCTCCGCCGAGATGCGGTCGTCGATGTCTGCTGGGGTTTGCGGCTTGTCTGTGGGGCGCATGACGAGGAGCACGTGTGCGTGGGGGAGGCCCCGCTTTTGAAACTCAATGACCCAAGTGTAGGCCACGACCACGCCCAACGCGTGCTTCTTGAGGAGGAGGTCCATGAGCTCAGCAAACTTTATTCGGAAAACTCGCGCCACTATGTCAGGTCTGTCGGAGGCCGTCTCGCGTCCTCTCAAGCAAGACTGGATCTCGAGCCACGCAGGGTTGGCAGTGATCGTCAAGAAGAAGTCGGGCTTCCCGTACCGTTTAACAATGGTCATCGCATCTAAGTAGTGCTGGTGCATGGAGCGTGGCGAGCCGACGAAGGTTGGCGGTAAAATGACCTTTTTGCCGATCTTGGTGGTCCCTGCAACGTAGTTAGGATCGTGTATGGCGTCGTGCAAGCCCTGGTATGTGTCAGCGCGTATGTCGTCCTGATGGTGCCTGATGTAGGAGAGCCGAGCGGCCTCCGCCCGACTCCAGACGTCGCAAACCCACATCTGAAAGAGGAGCCCCGCTGAATGTGGGAGCGATGGCTCCGTGCACGGCCATGGCGCATCGGCGGGAGTTGCGCGGTCAGGCTCGTAGTCACGCATCATAAGCCTGAACGCGTAAAACTGAGCGCACGTCATTCTGGTGTGTTTCTCAGTCTGGCGCCCGCCGTGTCGGAGGCCCGGGTGCCATCCGGGGTCTCCGTAGGGAAACAGCAGCGGGTAAGCAAGCGGGTCGACGTGTTCGCTGTCCTCGTGGATCCTGTGAGCTTCGTACCCCTCCTCCCGCGGCCAGACGACAATGTCCTTGGAGTGCCTGTGGGCGCCGTCGCCAGATGCAAATATCACTGCGGGTTCCAGCGTCTGCGGCTTGTTGTACCTCCTCATGTCGTTCTCTTTACTGGCTGCGAGTGCGAGCTGCACGGTGGGGGCGTGGTGCTGCTGGGCGATTGTCTGCATCTGGCGGTACGTCTGCACATAGGGGCACACCCGCGTCATCATGGCGGCGAATCGGCGGAGCCAGTCCGCGTCGAGGTTCTCGTAGTACGCGTTGCCTTGCCTGTGCTGCGTGGCGACGTTGTGGTCGTACAGGTAAAGCTGCGCGCACTTCGGCGTCGCCCCTTCTTGGGGGAACAAGAAACCAGCGTTGTGGTAGACAGTCCCATGGCAAATCATCACAGGCGGGCCTCTCCCCGATGCCAGCGTGTCGAAGCATTCGGAGCCGTAAGACACAAACGAGAAGGCGTTGTTGTACAGCTTGAGGCTGGCGGCAGCTGTTCGCGCAGTGGCACTGCCCCCTTGTAAAAGTTCGAGAAGTTCGGGCGGCGGTTGCGGCAGCGTCCTCTGGGTCTGAAAGTAGATGGCGGGGTTGCCGCCGACGGGGGTGTGGGGGATTGAGACGAGCTCACGGGGGGGGTTCGCGAGTGGGCGGGGCGTCGTCCAGGTCGAGATGGGAGAGCGCGCGTGCGCGAGATGATGGGGTCGTATCAGAAAAGAGGGGGGCTCGTGTGGCATTACACCCCAGTCTCCTGATCTGCTTAGTGGTGAGCTTGCCGTTCTGGCAGCAGATGCTGAAGTGCTTGTTCTTGATTAGCTCCTCGGAGAAGTTGTAGGCGCCGCAGTGCTGGCACTGGTGCGTCATGGCACTGCCGCGGTGGGGCAGCACGTTGTCGTCGGAGTGCCTGCACAGGTCGAGCACTGCCATCCGCTCACCGCGGAATTGTCTCGCGTGGGCGTCGCAGTACGGGACGCCTAGGAGCGTAGTGGTAGCTGGGGCGTGGCACCTGGTCGGCCATTGGCAAGCCAATGCAGGTGGGGGGGCGTCTGGCGGGACTGTGGGGGCAGTTTTCCTGCGCAGTCGCCGCGGGACGGGTTGGGCTTGCGAGGTGGCGGCCGCGTCCTGCGCTGCGTGGTCTTGGAAGAGCGCGAGGTAGTGGTCCCGACAGTAGTGAGTGCCGGTAGCTGCGAGCCGAACTGACGCAGGCGCCCCGCACCGTTTGCCAACGCCAGGGTCGAGGAGGTATGGACACGTCGGCATGTCAGCGGGGGTCCACTCCCAACCAGGAAGGGACTGGAGTTTCAGACGCTTCTCTGGGGGGTAGGTCGCGGGGGCCCTGTGGAATGCGTCGCGTTCCCGTTTCAGCCACTTCCACAAACGACGCTCCGCGGGTGCGTAGCGAGATGCAGGAGGCATGGCGGGGTAGGTGTCGCGGTGCTCCTGAAGCCAAGCTTCCAGCTGGGAGAAGCCGTCTTCCCAACTGAGGGCGTAGTCGTGGTCACCCCATCCGGGGAGCTGTGCCAAGGAGGCGCGTTGAGCGGCAAGCCTTTTCGCCTGCGCTGCTTCGCGCTTTCCTTTGGGGGTGATCTTCCTCCGCTGGTTATCAACAAAAGCAGCCAGACGCAATTCCTCCCGAGAATCAGAACGACGGAAGCAAGGGCCCCCAATAGACGTCGCGCGCTGCCAGCTGGAGTGTCTGGAGGGGTCGCATGCACGGGCGGAGGTGCGCCTGTGCGAGACCGCGGAGGATTGGGCGGGGACGAATAGTTGCGCACAGAGTCTATTTGGAGCCCGAGCGTCGCGCCGTTCGGGATGCATGGGAACCCCGCGTGGGGTACCGTCCAGCGTGGTCGTCGAGCCATGTACGTAAAGATTCAAACGTGCTCCTCCAGGCATCTTCTCGGTGATCCCAAGACCAAGGACTACATTGTTGCAGGAGTTGAATCCGGGCTGGCGGCAGGCGGCCGCGCTTGTACCTTTTGCGTTGCTGTATCATCCATGCTGCCTGTTGTCTCTCCTCTGGCTGCTGTGCCGCGGCTGCACTAGGCAGCCGCCCCTGCGTGCGCACCCAGGCTTGGAAGCTGCGGAATGCGTCGTCCCAGTCGGTGCTTTCCCAAGTCCATGAGGCCCATTGGTCTAGGTCGCGTTTCTGTGAGGGGGTCAGGCGACTCGTAGCATACAGGGTTCGTTGCTTATGGATCCACTCTCCGAGGACAGTTTCTGCTTTGTCGCCTCGTCTCCGCCGTGGCATGCGGCCAGTAGCGTGGTGAAACTCTCGCACGGCCTGGAAACGTTGGGTCCACAGCGTCCGGAACTTCTCGAGCGGGCCTGTCGCTGCCGGCCTTTTTGCAATGCGTTTTGGAGCCATGCTGCGCCGGGGCTCGCGTTGTGGAGCCCGCGCTCAATGGGGGAGCGCGGGGTGTTGTCATCTCGCACGCTGGAGCTGCAAATTGAGGCTACGGAAGCACATGCAAAGGAGGGGGAAGACAGGAGGCAAGGGGGAGCAGGAGAGGGAGCAGGGGCAGGGAGAGCTGGGTGATGAAGTGCAAGGGGGCGGGCATGAAGAGCTGGAAGGGGAAGCAGGGACAGGAGGACGAGGAGATGCAGGAGAACAAGCAGCATCAGCAGCCTGCAGGAGAGAGAGGAATATGCAGCGAGGAGGAGGGCCATGATGACACAGGCTTCTGTGAGGAGACGATCTTACTCACGTTTCTTGTGACAAGCGGCGCGTGACAGGGGTCTCAGCATAAGCGTCCCCCAAGTCTCCCTGAGCCGACTGTAGGTCACTTCGTGCTCTTAGCCTTCCCAGACCTCCATTCCCGGGCCACAAGCTGAATGCCTGGGGTCAACTGTAGGCCACTGCGTTCTCTTCGATTCCCAGAACTCCATTCCCGGGACGCATTTTGATGCTGATGCAGAGACTGGGAATGGTGATGCTGAGGCTGAGGCTGAGGAGGAGGAGGAGGAGGAGTGAGAGAGAGCAGGAGGAAGGAGAAGGAGGAGGAGGAGGGAGGAGAGGAGCATAGGAGGAGGAGGAGGAGGAGGAGAGGAGGAGGAAGGAGGAGGAGGTGGAGGAAGAGGCAGGGAGGGAGAGGAGGAGGGAAAGGGAGGAGGAAGGGAGGAGAGGAAGGAGGAGAGAGGAGGATGGGAGGGAGGAGGAGGAGGAGTAGGAGAGGAGGAGGAGGAGGAGGAGGAGGAGGAGCAGGAGGAGGAGGAGGAGGGAGGAGTAGGAGGTGGCAGGAGGAGGAGGAGGAGGAGGTGGCGGGGCCGCGTTGGGGTGGAAAAAACCATACCCCGCACCTCTTGGGACACCTGCTGTGCGTCAGGGGTCTCGAAAAATGGCCCGCGGCGCTTCCTCGCGGGTTCCTGGTCTGCTTTTTGCGTGACCCCTACCGCGCGCGGGGTGTCCCAGGAGGTGCGGGGTGTGTGTTTTTCCATACGCGGCGCGCTGCCCCTTCGGCGCCTCGGGGGCTCGCGTCGTCTAACTCCCGAGCACTGCTTTCCGCCGCTTTATTGCAGGCTCTGCCAGCGGTAACAGACGGCATAGGAGCCAACAGGAGTCAACAGGATCGGGGAGAAGCAACCTCAGCTGCAGGAGCATGCGAGGTAGAACGATAAGGGGTCATCGGAGAGGACGACGGAGACGACGGAGCGATCTGGGGGGACAGCTGCGTCCCGCATCCGTCGGTGCACGCCGCGAGCGAGAGGGGTGCCTGAAGAAGCCTTCCCGGGCTTTCCCCCTCCTCTCCGACTTCGTGCTCTGATTTCCTTCCCTCGTTCTCCTTGTCCTTCTCCTCCTCCTTGTTCTCCGCCTCCCTCTCCTCTCCCTCCTCCTCCTCGTCTTCCTCCTTCCCCCCCTCCGCCTCTACGTCCTCCTCCTGCTCCTCCTGCGTCCAGGAAGTTCTGCCAGCTGTAACAGACGGCACAGGAGCCCGCAGGAGCCCACAGGGTAGGGGAGAAGCAACCTCAGCAGCAGGAGTAGGCGAGGTAGACCGATCAGTGGACACTTGACAGGACGACGGTGATGACGGAGCGATCTGAAGGGAAAGCCGCGACCCGCATCTGTTGGTGCACGCCGCGAGCGTGCGGGGGGCCCGAAGAAGCCGTCGCGGGCGTTTGCGCCCAGGTCCAGGGGCTATTGTTGCGAGGTCCTCTCGCGGGAGAAGTGTTTCATGACGCGGCGAAGATGTGTTTTCCCTGGCAAGCTCCCTATCTGATCTCCGCCGCTGCTTGGGGACAAGTAGACTCGATCCGGGCGCAGCAACTGAATGCCCACGCCTGGCGCAGGAACTGGATGCCCACGCCAGTAAGGAAGTAGCATCGAACCTGGCGCAGCCACTGAATGCAACTCAATGTGTGCAGCCGCGGGTTCTCCGCCGCTGCTGGTGGAAAAGTAGCACCGATCCGGGCGCAGCAACTGAATGCCCGCGCCTGGCGCAGCAACTGAATGCCCACGCCATTAAGGAAGTAGCATCGAACCTGGCGGAGCACCTGAATGCAACTCAGTGCTTGCAGCCCCGGGCGCGCGATCTAGAGCGCTCGCGCATCAGAACAAAAGGTACTGGAGGGCTGACGCCGGAGGTGAGGACGTTCTGTTGAGGCTCTGCAGTGCTGCTAAAGCCCTTTGCGCCGCCAGGGCAGTGGCTTCACTGCGCGCTGGCGCCGATGATATTCGTGAAGATGTTGGTTTTGTCCGAGATCTCCGTCAGAAGCTCGAGCACTTTGCCATCCTGCGGCACCGTGTCCCAAGGGATGGTGATGTGGCACACGACGTTCTCCAGCACGGAGTTGAAGACGTTGAGGGCGAAGGCGTAGTTCGTCGGGTTGCTCATGTCAGTCATGTCCTCGGGCAGCACTCGGAGATTGTCGGCCACGCGGGGGAGTCCGGCGACGTCGAACTTTTCTCTGAATGGGTAGGTCCTCCCGTCCCACGCCAGAACCACGGTGTTCGCGTCCACTATGTCGACGCTGGCCATGACGATGCGGTTGCTGAAAGGGGGCGGCGCCTGGAGGATGCTCAAGGGAGGGGGGCCCGCGTCGGTGATCATCGTCGTGGAGATGCTCATGTCGTCGGCAGCGTAACCTGGCAGCGTCATGCCGCTGGGAAGGTGCAACTTTACCTTGAGGGACGAGACTGCAGGCCATGGCTTCTTGTCCGCGATGCGCGGGTGCTGGGCGCGGAACATGATGAAAGAATCGAGCAGCATCAGGGCGTTGCTGAGGGCGTCGGCGTCCCCCGCGACCCAGATCACCACGCTCCATGTCTCCGGGGAGGGGCGGGAGAGGAAACGACGACGGCGCGACTGCGGAACACGGGCGACGGTGGTTCAGGAGGAGTGAGGAGGGAAGTTTCCCCGGCCTGGATGGGAAGGCCCTGATCGCCGTGGCTGTCCTTGCCTGCGACGCACACAGCGATGTTCTGCAGGCTGCGAAGCTCCTTCAGGTCCTTCGGCCACTCCTCGTCCTCCTTGTTTTGGATCACGAGGTAGTCCTCGAGCGCTTTCAGCACCTGCGTTTCGAGGGAGGGCCAGGCCGCGTGGCCCAGGCGGACGCCCCACAATGGCACAGCGGGCGGGCTGTCGGGCCACAAGGTGCGTGACACGTCCGTGTACTTGGTCACGCACAGCTGGATGTCGGCGCTTGGGGGTTTCTCGGGCTGCCTCCGGGGCTGGGCCTCGAACACCCTGGCTTTGGCCTCGGCGCTCAGCTTGCGCAAGTCACGAGGAGCACTGGGTGGAGTGCTGGCTGAGGTGGACGCAGCTCCAACAGCACTGGGGGAGCCCGGGGTCTGTGTCTTGGCCCGCTTGTTCGGGGTGAACGTCGGCGCTTTCGGCGCCATGGCGCGGCGAGGGTAGGAGGACACGCGAGAGGGCACCTGGCCGTCTGACGCGCGGTCACGCGCGTGCGTTGAACCCGAGCGGCTGAGGTTGGAGGGGGTAAAGCTGCCGGACCGCCAGGTGTCAGTGAAACCGAAGACGCTCGGATGACTGCGCCAGCTTGCTGGGCGGGCTGGGCTGGTCAAGGGCGCGGGGTTGGCGACGTAGTCATGTCGGTGGCTCCAGAAATTGCGCGGAGGACGATGGTGTAGGTGTGGTTGTGTATATTCGTTGGCGGAGGAAGGACGAGGAGGAGGAGGAGGTGGTGGAGGAGGTGGAGGAGGAGGAGGAGGAGGAGGAGGAAGGAGAGAGAGAAAAAGAGGAGGAGGAGGATTGAGGGGAGGGATTTGGAGGAGAGGCGGAGAGGGAGGAGAGGAGGAGGAAGAGGAGGAGAGAGCAAGCAGGAGGGGAGAGGAGGAGGTGGAGGAGGAGGAGGAGGTGGAGGAGGAGGAGGAGGGGGTAGGAGGAGAGACGAGGCGGAGGAGGACGAAGAGAAGAGGAGGTGGGAGCGGGAGGATGAGGGAGGAGGGATGAGGGAGAGTAGAGGAGGTGGAGGAGGAGAGGAGGAGGAGGAGAGAAGGAGAGAGGAGGAGGAGGATGAGGAGGGAGGAGGAGAAGAGGAGAGGAGGAGGAGGAGGAGGAGGAGGTGGTGGAGGAGGAGGAGGAGGAGGAGGAGGAGGAGGAGGAGGAGGAGAGGAGGACAAGAGGAAGAGGAGGAGGAGGAGGGAGGAGGTGCAGGATGAGGAGGAGGAGGAGGAGAGCGGTGTTAGAGGAGACAGGATGGAGGAAGGTGAAGGAGGAGCAGGAGAGGAGGAGGAGGAGGAGCAGGAGGATGAGGAGGCAAGGGAGAGGAAGGAGAAGGAGGAGGAGGAGGTGGAGGAGGAGGAGGAGTGAGGCTGAAGCTGGCTGATACTGAGGCAGGCTCAGGCTGAGGCAGGCTGAGGCACACAGGCTGAGGTGGAAGGCTGACTGAGGCTGATGCTTGAGCAGGCTCAGGCTGAGGCTGAGGCAGGCTGAGGCTGAGGCGCAGGCAGGCTGATACGGAGGCAGACTGAGGCTGAGGCTGTGATTGCGAATGCCGCTGCCACTGCGACTGTCATCGCGAACGACTGCGACTGCGAGAAAAGCATTACACTACAACCGATCTGGATTCTCATCTGAATCTTAAGGGGAATGCTTCCATTTTTGCTTGTGCACATCGCTGTTAGGTTGCTTTGCCTGGATGATTGTGTGCCAGCGTTCCCGAAGAAGCAATGCCTCCGTGCCCTCGTCCTCCTGGCCTCGTCCTCCTTGCCCTTCTCCTCCTCCTTGTTCTCCGCCTCCTCCTCCTCTCCCTCTTCCTCTTCCTCCTCCTCTTCCTCCCCCCCTCCTCCTTCTCCTCTTTCTCTTCCTCCTTCTCCTCTTGCGTCGAAGGAGGCGTGACAGCTGCCAGATCTAATTCAAACCTCTTGAGGCGCCGGGGCCGCGTTGGGTTGGAAAAAACCATACCCCGCACCTCTTGGGACACCTCTGGTGCGTCAGGGGTCTCGAAAAATGGCCCGAGGCGCTCCCTGGCGGGTTGCAGGGCTGCTTTTTGCGTGACCCCTACCGCGCGCGGGGTGTCCCAGGAGGTGCGGGGTGTGTGTTTTTCCATACGCGGCGCGCTGCCCCTTTCGGCGCCTCGGGGGCTTGCGTCCTTGAAGGCCCTAGCATTGCTTTTCGCCGCTTTATTGCAGGCTCTGCCAGCGGTAACAGACGGCGTAGGAGCCAACAGGAGCCAACAGGGTCGGGAAGAAGCAACCTCAGCTGCATGGGCAGGCGAGGTAGAAGGACAAGTGGACATCCTTCCAGAGGACCACGGAGACGCCGGAACGATCTGGGGGGAAAGCCGCGTCCCGCATCTCTTGGGGCACGCCGCGAGCGAGAGGGGTGCCCGATGAAGCCGTCCTGGGCTTTCCCCCTCCTCTGCGACCTCGTGATGTGATTCCCTTCCCTCGTCCTCCTTTTCCTTCTCCTCCTCCTTGTTCTCCGCCTCCTCCTCCTCTCCCTCCTCCTCCTCCTCTTCCTCCTTCCCGCCTCCTCCTGTACCTCCTCCTCCTGCTCCTCCTGCGTCCAGGAAGCTCTGCCGGCTGTGACAGACGGCATAGGAACCAACAGGGGCCCACAGGGTAGGGGAGGAGCAACCTTTGCTGCAGGAGTAGGCGAGGTAGACCGATAAGTGGACATTTGAGAGGGCGACTGAGAAGACGGAGCGATCTGAGGGGAAAACGGCAACCCGCATCTGTTGGTGCACGCCGCGAGCTAGCGGGGGTCTCGAAGAAGCCGTCCCGGGCGTTTGCGGCAAGGTTCAGGGCCTATTTGTGCGAGGTCCTCTAGCGGGAGGAATGTTTCGTGACGCGGCGAAGATGCGTTTTCCCTTGCAGGGCCCCCTATATGATATCCGCCGCTGCTGGGGTAACAGTACCTCCGATCCCGACGCAGCAACTGAATGCCCACGCCTGGCGCAGCAACTGAATACCCACACCAGTCAGGAAGTAGCATCGAACCTGGCGCAGAAACTGAATGGAACTCAATGTTTCCATCCGCGGGGTCTCCGCCGCTTCTGGGGGAAGAGTATCTCCGATCCTGGCGCAGCAACTGAGTGCCCGCGCCTGGCGCAGCAACTGAATGCCCACGCCATTAAGGCAGTAGCATCGAACCTGGCGCAGCACCGAACTCCATTCCCGGCCGACATTTTCATGCTGATACAAAGACTCAGAATGGTGATGCGACTGAGAATGGTGATGCTGACGCTCTGGCTGAGGAGGAGGAGGAGTGAGGAGGAAAAGGGGAGGAGGAGAAGGAGGAGGAGGAGGAGGAGAAGAAGGAGGAGGAAGAGGAGGAGGTAGGAGGAGACAGGAGGAGGAGAAGGAGGAGCAGGAGGAGAGAGGAAGAGGAGGAGGAGGAGGAGGACGAGGAGGACGCAGGAGCAAGAGGAGGTGGTTGGATGTGGGTGGAGGAGGGAGAAGGAGAGAGGAGGAAAGAGGAGGAGGAGGAGGAGCAGGAGGAGGAGGCGGAGGAGGAGCAGGAGAGGAGGATGACAGGAGGAGAGGGAGAGGAGGGATGACGGATGTAGGAGGAGGAGGAAGAGGAGAGGAGGGAGGAGGTGAGGAGGAGGTAGGGAGGAGGAGGGGGGACGAGGAGGAGGAGGAGGAGAAGGAGGAGGCAGGAGGAAAGGAGGAGAGGGAAGGGAGAAGGAGAGAGAAGGAGGAGGAGGAGGAGGCGAGGAGGAGGAAAGGAAGAGGAGGAGGAGAAGGAGGAGGAGAAGGATGGGGAGGAGGAGAAGGAGAAGGAGGACGAGTTACGAGGAAGGAGAGGAGGAGGAGGAGGAGAGGAAGGTGCAGGAAGCAAGAGGAGGAGGAGGTCGAGGAGTGAGCAGGTTGGTGGAGGATGAGGGAGGAAGTGAGGAGGTGAGAGGAGGAGGAGGAGGATGGAGGAGGAGGTGTGGATGGCGGAGGAGGCAAGAGGAGGATAATACGAGGAGGAAAGGCAGGAGAGCGGAGGTAGAAGAGGGTAGGATAGAGCTCCAGGCGAGGTAGGAAGGATGGTAAGTGGACGAGAGGCAGGAGGAGGAGGAGGAGGAGGAGGAGGGATGAGGAGGAGAGGCGAGGAGGAGGAGTTGGTCGAGGAGGAGGAGGAGGAGGAGGCGAAGGAGGAGGAGGAGGACGAGGAGAAGCAGGAAGAGGAGGAGGAGGACGACGACGAGGAGGAGGAGGAGGAGGAGGAGGAGGAGGAAGAGGAAGAGGAGGAGGAGGTAGGAGAAGGAGGAGGCAGGAGGAGAGAGTAAGAGGAGAAGGAGGAGAAGGAGGAGGAGGAGGAGGAGGAGGAGGAGAAGGATTGAGGAAGAAGCAGGCTGATCTTTAGGCAGGCCGAGGCTGAGGCAGGCTGAGGCACAGAGGCTGAGGCTGAAGGTTGACTGAGGCGGAGGCTGAAGCAGGCTGAGGCTGAGGCTGAGGCAGGCTGTGTCTGAGGCAGAGGCAGGCTGATACTGAGGCAGAGTGAAGCGGAGGTTGTGCATGCGAATGCCGCTGCCACTGCGACAGTCATCGCAGACGACTGCGACTGCGAGAACAGCAGAACTCTACAACTGAACTGGATTCTCATCTGAATCTTCAGGGGAATGCTTCCACATATGCTTGTCCACGTCGTTTTTAGGTTGCCTTGCCGGCAGAATTTTGTGCTGGCGTTCCCGAAGAAGCAATGTCCCAGGACAGGCCAGGACGAAGAGCTGGGCCTAGAAAAGAAGAGGGCGGTCCCGGCGGGTCGCGCGTGGAAAAAACAGACCCCGCACCTCCGGGGACGCGTTGCGCGCGGGGGGGTGCTCCGCAAAAACACGTGGAGAATTCCACGGGGGTGCCCCGGAGGGCAGAATGACGACGTCCTACCGCACGAGAGGTGGCCCACGAGGTACGGGGTATTTTTTGCCACGCCAGCGGCGAAGCGTTCGACGTGGCCCGCGAGGTGTGTGGTATGGCTCTCTGCAGATGGGTATATGTTCACCATGAGGGAAAAGGGTCCTGTGGGGAAGGGGTCCTGGTGTTTTTTGTTTCGTTTTCGGCATCCCGGGGCTTTGGGGTTCTTTGGGAGCTTGCAGAAGGTGTGGAGCAGAAGGCGGAGAAGACGGAGGATGAGGCGAGCAGGGGAAGTGAACCGGAAGGGGGAGCAGGAGGGGGAGTGTAGTTGGAGGACGAGGAGGCGGCATTGCGGGAGAGGGGGGGAGGGGGCGAAGAGGGCTCAGACACGCGCAGGGCGAAGGCGGAGGAGAGAAAGGAAGGCAGCGAAGTAGGGGAAGGGATCCAGGGGTTCCCGGGTTTTTGTCCCACTGGACTCGTGGCCCACAGGAACGTTCTCCCTCATGCTAAAAAGCTGTCTCGGCAAGCTGCCGGGACGCAGAGTGCCAGGCGGGCGGCGTCGCCGGCTGAATCTGTGGAAGAGAAGGCGGAGAAGACAGAGGAAGAGGAGAGGAGGGAACGGGAGCAGGAAGGGGGAGGAGCAGGGGGAGTACCAGCAGGAGCATGAGTAGGCGGAATTGCGGGGGAGGGGGGGGGTGAGGCGAAGAGGGAGACGAGGACGCGATGGGCGAAAGCAGAGGGGAGTTTGGAAGGAAGCGTTGGAGGAGAAGGGAGGAGTAGAAGAGAAGAAATTGTGAGTGCACTTTGGAAGAAAAAGCATGGCCCAAGGCCAATGGGAATTCGTCCCGTCCGCCAGGAGTCCAGCGTGATGCCGGGTCGAAGGACAGCGTGGTGCTGGTTCGTCGTTCTAGCGCGGGTGGGTGGCGCGGGGGGGCTCGCCCCACCGTTCGGCCGGCACGTGTTCCCGATGGGTTGGGATATGGTTTTTCCTGTCGTGGCGTCGATCACCGAATAGCGCCTAGGAGGCGCCTCACGGTGGCGACTTGCTTGGCGCGGAGGTCGGTCACGTACTTGTTGTACGCCGTGGCCAGGTCACCGTCGAGGATCCTCTTACTGCGGCGCAGGACGATCCTGGAGATCGCGCGGTCCAGTTCGCACTGCGTGTATTCGAGCGCGTCGTAGCCTCCCAGGCGCTGCGCCCAGTGCTCGTTGAAGCGAGACGAACGCTGTCGGTTCCTCGAGTCGTGCACGGCCACGGCACCGAAGAGGGCGTTCTGCAGGTCGTCGTTAAGCAGCGCCTCGCGCACGACCTGCGTGACCGCTGCTGCCACGCCCTGCTCCCGACGGCTGCCGACGTGGATGCGGCTGGCACGGTCGAGATTTCTGCGCGCTGTGGCCCAAGCGCCTGCTTCGTCAGTCCTGATGCGCTTGCGGGTGCCGTCGACGTCGTCCTGGTCGGCGTCGTCGTCGGCCCACTGTCCCTGAGCGGCCTCGTCGCCGCCGTCGCTCGTGTATGAGCAGGCGGCTGCGCCGGCCATCCGGAGGGCGAAAGGGACCATTCCAGGCCCGCTGACTAACTGATGGTCGAAGTGGCTGAGGCACGTGTTGTGCGCGAAAGCGAAATGCCTGACGGCCATGGCCACCTGGTACATTTGGAACGACTTGAGCGTGCGGCACGGAGGATCTGCAAGGGATTGCGCCAGACTGTGGCGCTCCAGCCACTTGGCGTACGGGCCGAACAGGTAAGCGACGAGGGAGGTGATCTTGTCGGCGCCCGCCCTGTTGTTTTCCACAGGAGGGCACTGATACCCGGTTCTCGGATGGCAGCCAGCAATGTCGACTGTCAAACGCAACGCGTGCTCGACTACCCGGCTGTCGCTCCAAAATGTCTTCAACACTTTCAAGATATCCTCCGGCGCTGCCATTCCGGAGCTGCGCGCGGCGCGCGCGGCGGAGGCCGCCGTCGATCGAAGAGTCAGCGTCTTGTTGTGAAATAGCACGAGAAGCGTGAAGAAGAGCATCATGTGGAAACCTTCGTTCAGGTACCTCCTTGTGATAGTGGCCATGAGGTGGAGGTCAGTCCACTCGCAGCCCTTGGTGGCGATGACCATGTCCAGCAGGAGGTCTGGAGGATTCAAACACACAGGCAGAAGGTTGAACTTCAGGTCGTCCAACATCCGGAGTCCGAGGGTGGCTGACCAAGGGAGGAGGCTGTGGGATGACGGCGGGAGCCCGTTCCAGAAGAACTCACCCCAAGTAGTGCCTGTGACAACTTCGATGCCAATGGACGTGAGGGCGTCGAGGACCTTGTGTGGTAGAGTGTCCCCGGCGGTGCACTGAAGGACTGTCATCGCGTTCTTGACCACGAAGAAAAGGGAGAGGAGGGCGAAGTGGCCGTAGTGAAGTCCTGGCCATTTCTTCTCCGTGTTTTTCCACAAGGCTTTCAGGTGGTCGGCTACGGTGCGCATGGCGGCGCCCGGATGCTGTGCCCGGGGCAGGGTGGGTAGCGGTGAGGCAGCGGTTGAGCCCAGGTCTGCGGCGCAGCGTGGGAGGCACGGAGGACAGGGGAAGTAGGACGAGGAAGAAGGAGAGAGAGGGAGCGCCTGGATGAAGTGCGTGTCCTTCTGGGCGCAGGCGTCGTGCACGAGCAGCGAGGTGCAGGCTGCCTTGTTCTGCTCCCCCTCCTCGTCGAAGGCGTGGTCCCCCCTCCTCCTTTGCTCAGAGGGGTGGGGGGTGTTCCGGAGCTGGAGCGGTCGGAGGGCCCATGGCAGCCTTCTTGAGGAATCCTGTTGGGACCCTTGTGGGCAGGGTTGGGGCTCTCTCGAGCCTTCCTGGGGCTGTTCTGGGCCTCTTGGTGTTCATGGGCCGTCTGGGGCCTCGGAGGGCCCATGCCAGCCTGCTTGAGGGCTCCTGATGGGACCCTGTTGGGGAGGGTTGGGGCCCTCTTGGGTCTTCTCTGAAGCTGTTCTGGGCCGTCTTGGGGGTCTGGGGCCGCTGAGGGCCCCTCTGGGGGCGCTCCTGGGTCCTCTTGGGGGCCATCTATGGGAGCCTGGCGGGAGCCTTTCGAAGCCCTCGGGGGCTCCGTTGAGGCAGTGTTGGGTATTGAATGGGCCTTCCTGGGGCTGTTCTGGGCCGTCTTGGAGGTCTGGGGCCGCCTGGAGCCCCTGTCGGGGCGCTCCCGGGTCGTCTTGGGGGCCATCTATGGGAGCCTCGCGGGAGCCTTTCGAAGCCCTCTGGGGCTCCTCTGAGGCAGTTTTGGGTATCGAATGGGCCGTCTTGAGGGCCTGTTGGGGAACATTGGGGCCGTCATGGGCGCCTCTGAGGCCCTCCTGGGTGCCGTGAGGTCCGAGGATGTGCGTATACGGGAAATGTACGTTTTACCAGGGGAATGGGCCTGCTTTTGAGTCTCGGGGGGCTTCTAGGGGGCCGTGTGGGCGGTTCCCAGGGCTTCCTGGGCGGTGTTGGGGCGCTCCTGGGCCGTCCTGGGTCCCTGTTGGACTGTCTTGAGGCGGTCCTGGAGGCCTCCCGGGCTGTCTTGGGGGCCTCGTGGGGAGTCTGGGAGCTTCTTGGGCCTTCTCGGGGGCCCGGCGAGGCTGGCCCCAATGGCACTCTGGCACGCGCACTGCCCGGTATTGTAGGTTAGATGGTGCTCGGAGGCGGTCCGCGCAACTGCATGCCCCGAAGGACCTCCAGCGCTAGCCGCCACTGGCGGCTCCTCCCCTGCGCGCTGATGAGCGCGGTGCACTCGCGCAGGCCCCGCTCGGCACGGCGCGGCAGCATCCAGCGGAGCTCCACGAAGGGGCTGCGGCATGTCCTCCCGCATGCCTCGGGCTTGCCGAAGATCCTGGAGCGCAGCAGGGAGGCGAGAGGGAGGGGAATACAGAAGGAGAACTAACGGCATAAACATAAACTTTTGGCGCTCAGCGCGGCTTTCCTGGATCTGCGCTAGACCCCCTTCCCTGGCGCGCGGAGCGCGCCAGGGGCGGCGCGGGAGGCGCCGCCGTGTAGGCCCAGCGCTGATCCAAGAAATCCGCGCGGAGCGCCAGCAGTTTATGTTTATGCCGTTTTTCCCTTCTTCGAGAGGAGGGGCAGGACAGAGGAGGGGCGGGGGCGGGGAGTGACAGAGGCGGGGAGGCAGGAGGAGAAGAGGGGAGGACAAAACGAGAGGAAGAGGGGGCAGGAGAGAGGAGAGGGCAGGAGCGGGGAGTGACAGAGGCGGGGAGGCAGGAGGAGAGGGGAGGAACAAAACGAGAGGAAGAAGGGGCAGGAGAGAGGAGAGGGCAGGAGCGGGGAGTGACAGAGGCGGGGAGGCAGGAGGAGAGGGGAGGAACAACAAGAGAGGAAGAGGGGGCAGGAGAGAGGAGAGGGCGGGAGCGGGGAGGCAGGAGGGGGAGGAGAGGGGAGGAACAAAAAGGGGGAAAGAGGGGGCCGGAGAGAGGGGGGGGAGCGGGAGGGCAGGGGCGGAGAGAGGGGAGGACAAACAAGGCAGCAGAGCCCAGAATCGACTCGATGAGCCGGATCGGCGATCGAGACAAATCGGATCGGCGGAGATCGGCAGCCGAGCCGGGAGAAGTCGAATCGGCGGAAACCGGCAGGCCAATAGGCCTCCGTGGAGAAGTCGGAATCCAGAGCGGAATCCGAGGTCGAATCCAATCGGCATCGGAAGCCATCGAAATCGAGTCGCCTCGCATCAGGAGAGAGAATCGGAACGAGCCCTGACAAGGGGGAGCGCCAAGGGGGAGGGCGGGGCAGAGGAGGCGAGGGGAAGGGCCAGCTCCAGGGAGGGGGGTCTGCTTAAGGGTGACTGCTTGCATCCCTTACCATCCTGTCGATTCGTTTCTGGATCCTGAGCGTGGCCCACAGAAGGCCGATGGGCGCACTAGCGCCGCCGTCGTGAAGCTCTCGTCGAGCTCTAGCTGATGGAATGAGCCTCGACCTTTCGGGGGGAGGAGGAGGAGAAGGAGGAGGAGGAGGAGGAGGAGGAGGAGAAAGCGGATGATGATGATGAGGAGGAGGAGGAGGAAGCGGATGATGATGATGATGATGATGATGATGATGATGATGATGATGATGATGATGATGATGATGATGATGATGATGATGATGATGATGATGATGATGATGATGAGGATGAGGATGAGGAGGAGGAGGAGGAGGAGGAGGAGGAGGAGGAGGAGGGAGGAGGGATGAGGAGGAGGATGATGCGGAGGAGGAGGAGGAGGATGGTCCAAGATGATCCTCGATGTCGGTGGCAAACCTTCCGTACCATCTTGTCGGCGCTCGCGAATCGACGTAAATCGACGATGGTCGACGCCAATGGACGCCGAGTCGACGCAAATCTACGCTAAATCGACGCTAAAACAGCACCATCTCATCGACTCCCAGACGCTAATCGACGCGAGTCGACGCTAAAGACGGAATGAAGAAGGTAATTATACCAGGCTTCCATGATTTGCTATACCGAACACCCCTGTGCTGCAGAGCGGAAAAAATCAGAGCGAGAGCGGCCCTCGAGAGTAGAGGCCTCCTAGATGGGGTCCGAGTGGATGGGGTCGGAGGATCGCGCCGCTTCGGCGATGCATCGGCGATACATCGGCGATGCATCGGCGATGCATTGACCTCGCCGAGGAGAGAACGCATGCGTCCGAGCGATGCCAAGGCCCCCCAACGATTCGGGCATAGGCCTGGAGAGATCTGCAGAGAGCACCCCCATCTCGCTCGGACGTCCATTCTCCCAGTGCATTTGTCGATGCCGCGCGTGCATTTTCCCCTCGTGATGTGATCCAAGATTTCAAACATCGATTACGTCATCGATTCTGTCATCGATCCCCTACTAGAAATACTAGCCCCTGCAAGGGTCCTGGTCGGTGAGCAGCGACGCGTGGCCCGTCAGCAGCCAGGCATCCACCTCGAG